TATATATATATATATATTTTAACAATAAAAAAATATTAAAAAATTAAAATCTTCAGACACACTGGGTTGTAGATTGATATTCTTTCGTTTTTTTATTATTATTTCATTTAGATTCCTTGACTAGTTTCGGACAAAATGGCCATCATCGGGAGAAGAAATATTTCTGCTTGCTGGTAGCAGTAAACTACAGAAATGAATGTCTTGATGGAGAAAATGAACTTTTGTAGTTTTCATTTGTTTTTTTTATTTTTTTGTGTTGGTCAAACAGTCTCTTTTAAGTTGTTATTTGAGATAAGAGCTGGATGGATCTATGCTTCTCTGAATCCCCTTGGTCAGTTTGACAGTTTTATTGGACCTGGTGAGGGGATGTGTCTCTGTTTAGTGTTTGTGTATGTGTTATTTGGTTCTTAGGGAGTGAGTGAGTATGATATGTGTAAGCGTGTGTATTGCTGTGGTGTGTGTTATCATTTGGCTCATTAGGGAGTGAGTGAGTATGATGTGTGTAAGTGTGCATATTCGTGTGGGTGTGTGGGGGGCCTCAACACCTACGTAAGCATGTCTATCTTGTGTGGGTGAGAAATGTGGTTAGGTTTTGATTTGTAAAGTTATATATTAGTACTATCTATATTGTTAAATTTATGGTTTAGCCCGACTGGATATTGTGTTTTTAGACGTTGTATCCACTTATTTTCATGGAACTCTAAAATCTTTCTAATGTTATCTGCTCTGAACTTTTCTATTTTCTCAATTATAGTGAATTTGGCATGGGTTTTGAAATCGTGTTTTCCAGGCGGAAATGTTGTTCTACAGGTAATAATATATATATATATATATATATATATATATATATATATATATATATATATATATATATATATATATATATATATCAATTTGTTCATTTAGGGACTTCCATTAATTTGCGTTACCTAAGGTTAAAATTAACTTTTAAAAATGAAATAGTTTTGTTAAAGCTTTAATTTTAGCTTTAATTGAAAGATAAAGGTTACATTTACTATTTCCAGTAAGACAAATTCTCGGGTTTTCAGATAGAAATTATATTGATTGGAAATCTTGGTGGATGATGATTTTTATTAAGCTTTTCAATTTTTGATTAGTAAATATAGTTTTCACTTAATAATAATATCACCTAACGCAATTAAAGTAGTGTAGAATTTTTAAAAGATTTGAAAATATAAATTCAAATAATTATTATAATTAAAATAAAACAAAGAAAACAGTTCTTGTAAAAATTCATTATTCATCGAAAAAATATTTTTTCTTAAGACAATAGTGTCCTTAATAAATCTTACTTATAAAAGCAATTAAAAATCTTTCGAATAAATAATGTCAGTTTTATTGCATTTTTTTATTTTATGATTCGGACCAAATTTTCGGGAAATTAAATGTTTGAAAAAGTAAATTGATGATTTACATTCACCAAGGAGTCCTGCTTTTGACTAATAAAAATGTTGCGATTAAAATTTCATTTTTCGAAATTTCATGAAATTAAGTAAGTGAAGTGGGAGTAACATATGTAAAAAAATATTTTTACCAAGATTTTTTAAAACAAAAGAATTCAAAAATAATTTAATTCGTTTGTGAATCATCCTGAAAGTTTCATTAAAATCCGAATATTTGATTTTTACAAGAATTTCCAAATCAATGTGTTTTTCACCTGAATAAAGGCTCTAAAACATCCATAGCAAATGTTAGTCAGTCTGCCGACGAAAAAATAAAATCTCAATCAAAATTTCGAACTTGCCAGAAAGGATTTTTTTTAATCAGAATCACCCCAAGCAAAGCAGTGGAGCTACTAGCATTCAAAGGGGTTATAGGGTGTGGTGAAATTAAGAACAGAAACATTAGCAATGAGTAGAAAGAGAAACGAACAGGCAGGAGGATAGTAGAGGGCGATTGACACTGCATTTTAATTTTTGCATATTAAAGTTGGCTGGAAAGCATGGAGCCGGAAAGTATTTCCACAAATGAGAAGTGCGAGAACATAAGCTGTCAGTATAGAGATTACGGCTACATCTTAGCTACTTTAACTGTAAATGGATGAGATCTCGCCGCCAGTCTAGTATTGCGCTTAAATTCATACAGTCGAGGTACCATAAAGAAGAGATCATCCGAACAGTTGCCATGAAAATATTTATAAAAATGGCACAGAGAGGCAACCTTAAGGCGGTGGGAAAGTGACTGAAACCGAGCAGCCAGATCAGGTCCAATAATATTACTGATTCTTCTTTGGAGTTTATCAAAGAGCTCCATATAAATAGCAGGGGCACCGGACCATATATGGCAGCAATATTCTAAGCATGGACGAATGGTAGACATAGATATATGAGATTATCATCAGGGATGCAACTGGATAGCTACAAACAGTCTTTGCCTAATTGAGTTGCACCTTTGATGAGGATCTCAGAAAGAGATGGAAAGTACTTGGGAAATAAAAGTGATTCTCGCTGTTGCAACGCATTTCTTGCCTCATTCAATTGTAATGTACGGAAAAAATATTCGTGCATATGCAAAGATTATGATAAAAATAAGCAGACATAATGTTTGTAATATATTCAGTGATATATATATATATATATATATATATATATATATATATATATATAAAAGTTTCTCCGCTATCCGATTGTAGAAACTTCTTACGAAACACTTCGCAAATTGAAATAAAAACCGCTTAAATGGTCTTGTAGAGGAAGAAATTTTCCATTTACCTCCTCTTCCCCGCACACTACGTCTCAAGAGTATCGATATTTCTATAGAAAATATTCGGATGACCTCCATTTTAACCAGTTCAAAATTGTATAGCTAGGATTGACCAGGCTTCGCCCACGGAGCTTATCCACCCACAACATCTTAACCTCTCCAAGTCAAAGGTCAATCGTTATCTGTCCTCCTTATCCTCATAATTTTCACCTCTTTCATTTTCTGTTTATATCTATCTGTCCACATATCAAGAAGTTTGGGCTTGTCTAAGGTTACTGGACCCACAGTCCTGGAGCGAGAAGTATTTGAATAAAACAGTTAAAGCAATGGAATAAACCTAAATTGTGAGATGTAACCTCAACGAAATATTTTGACAAGTACTCCTAAGACCTCATTGAATTATTGTTATTACTTAATTACTACCGTTCATCGTAATTAGTTTGAGTATAATTGCCTACTTAATCGGATTTAGCACAAATATAGATGAGCTGTTATGCTTGGGTTTTCTCTGGATTCGTTAATCGCTACCATAATTATCATCTCTGTGTGCGTGCTTATCAATTCCATTCAGTCAACTGTTTTATTCAAGTCGTTGTCTTTCTCCTGAAAGGTATACGGTCGTCAAGACGAAGTGAAAATATGCCCTGCTACGCGCTTTATTTGAAACAAATTTAAAGAAATGTTATACTAGTTTGAATATAATCTTTGAAGTTTTAATTTTTGTTTACTTTGCAAGGAAATATATTTGCTTCGCTAAAAGGATTTAAAATATTGTTGACATAGAGACGACCACAACAAATTGCGCTAGCATGATCAATGAATATACAAGTGGAAAAGTTAAACCTTTTCTAAATGTCTTTGGGTGAATTAATGCTTACACATAAAAATTAGATTGCTTAGAAAAATAATTTTATCCGGAGTTAACTGAATTAAAAAAATACATTTTACTTGAAATATTGTGAAAAATTCATTTGTTTACAGGTGATATCTGTCTGTCAGTCCACGTTCTTGTTGCATCACCCTGAGCAGACAATTTAATTCCTGTGGGAATCTATTAAACTTTAGCCATTAACTGCAAGATGACAGACAGTACTGTCATCAGCAAGAGAAAAAAAAACGTGTTACAAATTGGAGATATAAACAGGAAATCGGTTCAGAAGTTCAAATATCTAGGAAGCCTTTTAACAGAAGAGTCAATGTGACAACGAGAAATGAAGTACACATTGTACTAGTGAAAGAAACATTCCAAAAACTAAGCAAGGTGCGGATAAACAGAAAATTTTTGTTAGAAACAAAGGAAAGAGCGCTGGATTTTTATGTGATATCCATCCTCTGGAAGTGAATGTTAAAAAATTTCCCCAAGGACAAGGAAAAAACTAGAGGCAACAAAAATGTGGTTCTACAGAAGGCTACTGAAAATTTCATGGGTGGATTGAGTAAGCAACAAGGAAGTCTTTTAAAAAAAATGGCAACAGACAGAACATTTCAACTCAAAATCAGGAAAAGAAAAATTCCTTAGATATATTATGAGGAAGGAAGGCTTGGAAAATTTAACCCTCACGAAGCATATTGAGAGCAAGGGAGATAGGTAAAGTCAGCGAGCCACTTAACTGACGAGCAGGGGTAAATGAATGACGGAATGGGGGAGCCATGATTGCCTATATCCTGAAAAGAACGCACCAAGTAGAAGTGACCCCAGTTATATTTTATTGAAATTTAATGAAGTTAAATAAAGTTTTCTTTGGCTGGCTTTATTTTCCTGGCTGGCTTTAATTTTTTTTTCAAAAACAACCCAGTCAACCTGCTAATTAACCTATTTTTTTTTTCAAAAACAACCCAGTCAACCTGCTAATTAACCTATCGAGTAGGCCTGGGTACCCTACTTCTGTAATTTATCCCAAGAATCTTCTTCTCATAACAGGAAGAAGCCGGCTCAATCCGCCCAGGGTGAATGCCGCATCAGTACAGTACAGTAATTAACCTATAGTTTGGGTGAGAATAGACGGATTTATGCTTATCCCATTTATAGGAAAATGAACGTAACAGACCAGCCCGGGATTTGAACCCGGTTGCCCGATTTAGAGTTCGTGCCAATATCCGTTATTGTACCTGCTCGTTTGTTTTTTTATTGTTGCTTTTGTTAAGGCGTGCATTCTTTTCTCTTTTTTTTTACCGTTTAGAAAATTTTGGAGAACAAAATTTCAGGGAAAATTCATCTTTTTTTTTTTTAAACACTAAAGTGAGTGTAAAAATGAATGTTTTTATATTTTTCTTACCTTTTTGACTTTTTTTGTAAAATTCAAATTCGCTGTGAAGGGCATATCGCAAAAAGCACGGATTGGCCCAAGGGAATTGCTCGATCCATCAATGAAATAAAACTTCACGTTCTTGATTCCAACGGCTGCTTTCCACACAACCCATATGCTTATGCTGAACAAAGACAAAGAATAATTAATCTTTAATTTCAGTAAACAGGGATAATTAATGTAAACAGAGATGGAAGGAATTTAAAAAGATTTTGTCGAAAAATAATAACAGACTTACTTTTAGGTGATCTATATTTTCTTGATATAAGATTGATACAGCGTATTGTTAACATTTCAACGGTTACAGACATTTTAGAATATACTTAAGCTTACAAAAATAAATATTTAATATAATCCACTATATAGGCATATATATATATATATATATATATATATATATATATATATATATATATATATATATAATTAATTTTTTAAAATATGATTCCTTCGCTAAAAAATATTTATAATTTAGGCTCTACTTTTGTATCGAGCAGTTTTTTTTTTTTAAATAAAAACATAAATACTAAAGAACTTCGGATTATTTAACTAACGAGTTCTTTCCTATTTTTCTATATATTTGCACACACACACACACACGCACGTACACACACAAACACACATACACATATATATATAGTGTATTGAGGGAGCAGATCATTATTCAAACATATATTGTTAAATATAACAGACAACGAATATCAATTATGTTTGATCATGAGCCATTCTAAACTTCGTATAGTAGCTTTAGTTTCGGGAGAAACTTTTTTTTTTAATTTATCAACTCTTACAGCTACATTTTAAGTAATTTCTATGGGATAAACAACAAACCTGGCATTGAACTTTTCTGTAATTGCAGATATAAAGAAAGTTGTCCAATTGAGGGCAAATGCAGCTCTACTAGGGTTTTATAACAAGCAACCATTTCCCCCAAATAAAATATGGAAAATTATAATGTTTACATTGGAATTTCAAGAACATAATTAATATTAATTATATCTTCTAATTCTCCTCTGTCCTAAGAAATCTCTTTCTTTTTATCACCCACACCTGTTTATCTATATATTTTAAGTTGTATTTTTTTTATTATAATTTTTTCTTAACTATAATCTTACTTAATTTTAATATAAATTTTCTAAATATAACTTATTTTTAATTTATAAAATATATGTTACTTTTAAGTATAATTTTAGTTTGGAAGGGTGTTTTTAAGTTGGAACTTGTGTTATTTTTAAAACTTAAACTTATCTATATAATTTTATTAAAAAAAACAACCTTTTCGTTCCTCTCTTTCATATGACCCCTATTTAATGCAATAACGTTAATATCCGGATTTTATTTTATAAAAACTCTTCCCTCACCGACCCTTGAACCCTGTCTCGTGCCTTTCGTCTGACTGAAACATTGAAATGGATAAATTCTGGATCAATTGGGTGTTATGGGGTCCACCCCTTTTTCATACTAGTGTACTCGACCAGTGTGTACTTGTACTGCTGCCGGTGAATACCCGGAAGTCGGAAGTGAGAGTGTGAGGTAACCGCTTTGTAGGAGTCACAGTTGCGAGCACGTAGACTCAGAAGGAAGTCCTACTTCGATACTGAATTTCCCAGACTGTATATATATATTATTATTGCGACTAACCGCTTTTCTGGATCTAATAACCGTATTACCAATTGTATTATTGCGTCAATACATTTATTTGCTATATTTCATTCCTGCGTTTGTCATTCATTTAAGGTTTGATAATTCTAGCACAGAACTGCAATAAAGGAGCACTCAATGTGGATCGAACTCACTAGAAGAAGAATGACCTACGACATTATAGTCAGGAGAAACCAGTCATGACTGTCAGACAATTTCTGCGACCATATCACCGCTCATATCTGACCACAAAACTCCCCAGACTGCAACATTATTATGTATAGGGTGCAGTTGAACGAGAGACTAACAAAGCTCGTTGTAACACCAAACATGAAATGAAGGCAAGGATTATGAAAGCATTCACCAACTTAAACAAACCAATGGCGATTTTATTTCACGAATAAATTTACTCTTTTGTGTTTCAATAGATTTTGTATGATTTTGGTGAATATATCTTAAAATAAGATGTCAGTGTTATTTTCATGTTTGCGTAATTTAGACGACAATTTATCCATCGCGCCTCTCTCTCTCTCTCTCTCCCTCTCTCTCTCTGTATATATATATATATATATATATATATATATATATATATATATATATATATATATATATATATATACTATGACTTCGCTTGATCTCGGACGGTTGTGATTAATTTCACTGTTTAAAAATAAAGTGTCAACTCAAACTTATGTATCAAATAAAATAAAGTTATATTAATAAGAAAATTATATCTACCTATATATATATATATATATATAGAGAGAGAGAGGGAGAGAGAGAAAGAGAGAGACAGACAGAGACAGAGAGACTTAGGCAGAGGGCGGGGAGTCCTGTATTCCTTCTTGAAAATTATTATTCGAAATGGTGTGTTTTTTTTTTTAACTAGTCTCTAACTTGAACCAGTGTATCTGCAAAGGGATGTGTGATACTATTTCAAACAGGCTTATCTATGAGACTATTTGAGATGCTTATTACATTCGACTGAAAGGATGCCATGAAAGATAGACAAAAATAAGTATGTCTGCTGACGCCCATTTGGGAGCAGTAAATGTCGAAAAGCCTTTGACCCCTTCAGTTATGTAATGCTAAATAAAGATACACGAGAAGAAATCTTGAATATCTTACTTGAACAATAACCACGCTTCGGACATTCTTTATTGGTACTAATTTTGACCAGAAAAAATTAATGTAATTTGATCAATTCAAAACTATTTTAAGATTATATCATCGCAGACAAAAGTACCTTCAACGAATTAATTCTGAACAGAAGAACTTCAGTGTCAGATATGAGAATGCTTTTAATCCTCATCCAATATAATGTAAATCTAGACGCACCCTAATAAACCACAAATTCAAAGACGTAAATTAAATAAGCAAGAGCTTCACTATGGTGTCCATGATCAGCTTCAACTCCTTTTTATTTCGATCATGAGAAAACCTCATTTCTCGCCATGTTTCAAAGTAAATTAATATCGACCTGACAAGGGTCGCTTTTCTCCATCTCATCAGAAGGATTCTAAATTCTGCCTATTTGAAAGGATTATATATATATATATATATATATATATATATATATATATATATATATATACACACACACACACACACACACACACATATATATATATATATATATATATATATATATATATATAGTTATACTTGGGAAAAAAACTTGGGTGTTTTGGCTTGTAATTGAATAAACCAATGGCAAAGGGAAAATAAAGGATAAAAAAAAGAAAGAACTAAGAACATGAAATTGAGGCGAAAACAATCGTCCAGAATCCAAGCTCAGAGTCCAAAGAAAAAAAACCTTCAAAGCGAGTAAAGCAAAATTAACTAAGTAAAGTGATAAATACACTAAGTAGAGTAAATCTAACTATGAACCTAAAGAGCAAGGTAAACCTACCTGCCGACCGGCGTAGGTGAAACCTAGGTACGTTTACCTGGCTCTTTAGGTTCATAGTCACTACAAAAATAGCCATTTTGTTTCAACACCCTCGGTGTCTTATCACGTGATGATGTTGAAGATAAAATAAATGGTTTTAAAAGTTTCAAATTAATTAACGATCCTACACTAGGGGGAAACATTGTTACAAAAGCTAGAATAACCAATCAAAAACCAAGTATAGAAAGATTCAAAAGCTTGACAACGAAATCATGTTTTAATAGCTATCAGATCTTTAAAATACGGGTAATATTAAAAATAATTTATACTAACCAATAATTATAAAATTATATGATAAAATTTTAGGCAATTTTAAAATCCAAATTTAAAATTAAGTTTAAAAACAGGCAATTTTAAAATCAAATTACGTTCGACAAGACGCTACAATATATCCGGTCATTTGACAATACATGTATATATATTTTTTATTCTAAAGTGTGTGAATGTGGCCTTAAACTCACGCGCAAAACAAAAAAAAACACAATCAGATTATAATATATAAGCACCCAGACATATTTAGATATATATATACAAAAAAAAAAAAAAAAAAAGGCGACGTGACAGGAACATCTCTACAACCCTTTATGAAAAAAGGAAACGGGGAAACCAACACCTATACACACACACAATTAAATGTGAATGCACTCTACATACACATAGACACCGATAAATACACGTACACACATCCACAGACAATGACCTAGACAATCAGATACCACAACCAATAAATATTTAAGACTTAAGGTATCATTAAATAAATGCTAACCACTTATTAAATTATAACTTAAGGGAGCAAATATACAATATCAATACAATATGGTAACCAGTAATACAGAGAGATAGAGAAAAACAAGACTCACAAAAAAAAAAACGTAATATGAGCTTTGGTCAAAAATGATTACCCCAAAATTTACTCATTGGCGTCTCCAAGGAAACATGGCCCAGTGGATATAAGCGTTGGTTGAATTAATCCTAAAAGCGCCAAAATGCTGTGAGTTCAATAGTTCTGACCAGAGCAGAGTGAAGAAAAACTTTGTGAATTAAGTTACTAAATGGAATTCAATGAAACTGAGACATCCAGAAAAGGAATTAAAAACAAGTGGAATTGGAACAGTCTACCCCCTTGGACTAAATAAAAGGTTCGGTTCAAAATTCCCACGTATACCACCAACGTCGTGAATATGGCAATAAAGATGAGGACAACAGTTCGAACGCTGTGAATAGTGTATAAATATTTCTTGAATATTTAAGCCTGTAAACGAAAAATAAAGGGTTCGATTGCAAATTCTAAAGTATATCACCTGAGGAAGGCCGGAACGTACAACAGCCGAAACGTCGAAATTATGGCAATAAAGATGAGGACAATAGTCTGAACGATGTGAATAGTGTATAAATATTTCTTGAATATTTAAGCCTGTACACGAAAAATGAAGTGTTCGATTCCAAATTCTAAAGTATATCACCTGAGGAAGGCCGGAGCGTATAACAGCCGAAACGTCGAGAATATGGCAATAAAGATAAGGACAGCAGTCCGAACGATGTGAATAGTGTATAAATATTTCTCGAATATTTAAGACTGTAGACGAAAATAATTCAATATACTGTTTAATAAATAAACGGATGTCGACTGAAATCCACTAAAAATAATTTAAGCAATAAAATCTACCGATTTAATAAAAAAAAATATCCATTACTTCTTTTTAATAATTAAACTAAAACGACTGGCACTTTATGTTTTATAAGTGCAACTGAGATATCAGAAAGGTTTTCTAAATAGGGATCTTCGTCTTTAATGTTAAAAGACAGAAAATCTAATGTGGATTATTTGGGTCATGACATCTTAATTTCTTTAGATAAAACTAGAGAAAAAGATTTTGGAAATATAAACTGGGCGTGGCCATTACTCACCGTTGAGGGACCGTGTTGTACTTGAACATAAATTCGATATAGCACTTGCTGATGCATTCATAAGTTTCCTGCATCCAACTCAACGAACTGGCTCTGCAGCGTTCGGCATCCGGTGGACCTGATCGTTGTGAAAAAGTAAAACAAAACAAAAAAATAGAAGAGAAGAAATTAGAAAGCGTTCAAAACTTCTGCTACTGTAGACAGACTCAAACATCTGTTTTGAAATTTACATTGCCTGCTGTTGACGTAGATATACATTTTCAAGAAACTGTGACATGACGGCTTCTAGCGCTTAGTGGTATTTTCCGAACCAAGTCAGGAATATAGCAGTATACAATACGAACGGCTTTCAGACTTAATTTTATAATATATTTTTACTATGCTAAGCTACACTATACTGCAGTGTATCCGATTGAAACCAAAATGCCCGTCCCCATGAGAAATTAAAATCAACTTTTTTCTAGTCATTTATCTCCAGTAAATAATAATTTCCTATTTTTACTAAAACGACCCAACAAAACCAAGCAACAATACCATAACAATGTATCAGTACTAATGTATTAGTGTTCTGCTTTTGGTATCACTAACAATCAGACATCTTGCAAACAACGCCTCCCAACATAGGGAGCTTGCTGCAAAAATTTGAGTACTTAGATATTTAAACGACAAAACCATTCTACATAAATCTTGAACGTTTCACATGAAAAAACTGGCTCATCTGGCTAACATGCTGAGTCATTCACCATCGTTGACATTTTTTAGTACAATAGGCCAAATTGACAGTGTCTCTATCTTCTAAAAGTAACATTCAACTGATTGTAATAGGTTACATGGTACCAACAGAAAGGGCACACACTTGCTTTGACCTGTCGAAAACCCAAAGGAAACGAAATGTCCTACTATTTACTGATAGCTAGGGAAGAAGAGGTTCATGGCTTTTTTATGAGCATTATTGTGAAATAAACGCAAACTGCACCATAAGTTTTATTTACTTATTATTTTGCTATTTTAAATATATACAACAACTTGGCTCATCACAGAGAGTCCAAGAGAACGAAGTGAAAGTACGAACAGGGAAAGGAAACACTACGACATCAACACCCATGGGGACAGCCTAGTACATGCAATATCTGTAATTGTTTCTGCTTCTCATACTTTGGACGCTGCACGGTTGTCTTGATCATAGAAAATCAATGGCCTTCTGAGAACGAGCACCGCAGAGTGTCGAAGGACAGTGTCGAATGGACAAAATGTCGAACAGACAGAGTCTCGAACGGACTAAGTATCGAACGAACAAAGTGTCGAATGGAAAAAAGTCGAACTGACTAAATAACTGTCTATATTTCTGACTTGAGGTATTATGTACATTATTTACATTATTCGGACTATTTTCCTCATCTTTGTCGCCATATTTATTACAACGTTTCGGCCGTTGTAAGCTCCGGCCTTCTCCAGGTGGTTGGAATGTCGAACTGAACCATTTATTTCACTCACTGGGTGTAGACTGTTCTAGTTCCACGTGCTATGTTTCAATGGATGTCAGTTATCAGTTACCTCCTGCTTAATTCCCCTCTGAAAATTGTCCACTGCCTTAACTGGGTATCACACTCTTTGGGTCCTGTCACTCGATTAACCAACGCCTTTATCCACTATGCCATGTGTCCTTGAGGTCATCTCTGTATGAATTTCTGGGTATTATAAATCTAATGTCTTCAGCAATCATTTTTACCAGTGTTCATATTGCAATTTTTTGCTGTTATAATTTCATGTTTTTACCAGAGCTCATGTTGCAACTTTGTTGTTATCAGTGTTTTTGTCTGGCACTCCTTATTACTGGTTCCCATATTGTATTCATTTCTAGGCTAGGTCGGCTCAGGAGATTTTTGTGGCCTAGCATATGTGCTGATTCCTTAAGTTTACGAATTTTCCAATGGTGTTCCTTGTCTATGATCTCACTTGATCCCACAGAGGGTGGTGATCTCCATTCTCTCTCCATATATGTTCAGCCACGCCTGATTTTTCTACTTCCCCTCGTGTTACAACTTTTTAGTGTTCTTGAAGCCTAAGTGGGCGGCCTGGCTCCCCTTTATATTTCCTTTAGTCATTCCAACCACCTGAAGAAGGCCGGAGCGTAAAACGGCCGAAACGTTGTAATAAATATGGCGACAAAGATGAGGACAATAACCAGAATAATGTAAATAATGACTAAATAACGAAAGGCCAGAAATGTGTCTGGAATAGAATACCATTTAGCATGAAAGTATTCTGCCAGTAAATAATTATTTTTAAATTTTAAACTAATATAAAAACCTCCTTTCTATATAACTGCTAACATTTTTGAAGAAGGATCTGCAATTGTGGTAAAAATAAAAATATTTTTTTTTTTTTATGAGGAAATTCCAACTTTGGCAAAATATAATTCCAGATTGTGAGCGATGAATTTTAGATATTCTAAACAGTGCTTGTTCGTCAAAGACGCCGAAACAAAGAACACAATATTTATCCTAATAATGCTCTCTAAAAGAGCGATATAAATGCTGAAGGACGTGTACCTGTGTTTTATAGATTACGCAAAGGCCTTCGATAAAATACGCCACAAATATCTGTTTGTGCTGCTCAGCAACCTTGACATATTCGGGAAAGATACGAGAATATTGAAGAACCAATGCTGGCATCAAAGCTCAAACATTCGGGCCGAAAATGAGTTCAACAGATGAAGAAAAACAGAAAGCGATGTAAAACAAGGACGTGTCTTCTCATCGGATTCATTCAAACCTATACAGCGAGACAATTCTGAGAGAAGTAGTAGCCCTACCAGGCGGCCACAATGTTAACAACATAAGTTATGCAGATGACACAGTGCTGAAAGCAGACACGGAAAGGAAACTAGAAACGCATCTACAGAAGGTAGCGAAGGAAAGTAAGAAGAAAGGACAAAGTATAATCTACAAGAAGACAGAATGCATGGTAATCAACAAAAGGATGAACCCAAAATGCTAATTACAAATCGGAGATACTAAAATCAAACAATAAAAAAAAAAATAGCTGCGAAGTATTCCCACAGAAGACGAAAAGTGCGACATTGAGATCTGAAGACATATTGGGATGACCAAAGATGCATTCCAAATGCAGGGTAGACAGTGACAGAAAATTTGTTAAAAGCAAAGAAAAGAGTATTGAACTGTTCTCCTGTATATTAGTAAATACTGGATAATCTCCTGAAAGATAAAGAACAGACTTGAAGCAAAAGTAACGTGGTTCTCCAGAAAGATGCTGACGACACCATGGATCAAAGATGTGAGCAACGGCGAGGCTTTGGAGAAAATGAAAAAAAAAAAGGAAACTTATACATCAGGAAGAGGCAGTTGAAATATCTGGGACATATAATGAGGAAGAAGGGCTTGGAAAATGTGATAAAGACAGATTGAGGGAAAGAAGGAAAGAGAGAAAGAGCGAAAGAGAGAAAGAGAGAAAGAACGAAAGAGGAAATCGGCGTGTAACGTACTTGATGAACTTGAGCAAATGGATGGCAGAACTGGTTTTGGGAGAAATAACGAAAAGACAAAAAATTATTAAGAGCTACAAGTGACAGGAAGATGTGGAGGGCCATGATCACCTACGTCTCAAAAGGACATGGCGCATAAAAGAAGAATTCACTACTGGTATCGTGTCTTTAGTCTTTGATTTAAAATAGAATATTTGTTGTATTTTCTTCCCACATCTCTGCCTTGTTGAATTAGTTCTAAAATCATTTCAATGCCGAAATCTTCCTTATTACTTTGTTCAAAGGTTTTCTTCTTTTGAAACTTTGTCTTTTCGACATTATATCCCTTCGTCATCTTTTCAGTTCGACTCCTTTTCCGTTTGACACTTTGTCCATTCGATACTTTGTTCAATATTTTCTCCATTCATCATTTTGTCTTTCGACACTTCCTTCTTTGACAATCTGACTTACTGCCCCCAAGACTGCGAATGCCAACGACGACGATACAACAACCAAACAACTCAAATGCATTCTAAGAATTCATTATATAAAGATTAAACAAAATTATCAAAAAATGGTATGAACACAGCACGTTAACCAAAAGTATTAAAATTATCTAAGATGTAAGGGGGTACAAATGTAACGAACTCAACTGGAATTCGAATTTGGCACTCTGATTTCTCAATCCGAGCCGCTTACTCTACCTTTTCTCACTATATATATATATATATATATATATATATATATATATGCTCAAGAATTAACAAGGACAGTATATGTCTAGAAAACCGGAAGTCAAATGGCTACAATTGAAAGAAAAGAGGATAAATAGAAAAAGAGAGAAAAGGTTAATGAGTAAGTGTAAAGTGGAAAAAATGACGGAAAGGACAAATAATCACAACATTCTACACCTACTCACATACGCGCATGCACGCACACATACACTATGAAAAAAACTTGCGTCAATGAGAAATGAATATACAAATGAAAAGGTTTGAAATTGTCAACATTTTACATTGCACTGAAATAGATGTTAAACATATAAGGCTGTTATCACCTTTTCTATCTTCCGTTCATTCTTTCTCTCTCTCTCTCTGAAACCAAGTAGTGTCTTGCCCTTTCTGTCTTTTCTCGTGATCAAAACGGAATAGTCCATTATTTATGAAGTATTGACAAGGTGTAACGTGCGTGCTAAGGAAGGAAAGGACATGCAGAATAATAATAATAATAATAACAATTATTCTTCTTCTTCTTATTATTATTATTATTATTATTTCAAAATGCGAATAAAGCCTAGTATCCCATCGCTCCAGGAGTCTGTGTTACTTGACTCTACAAATAATCTGCGAAAGGCTCTACCTGTCTGAGCTCTTACGACCTGATTGAAATCATCTGTAATGCAAGATCTGCTGTTGAAAAAGAAAAAAAAAGCAATAAAGTAAAAGATAATAATTGACGACACTAATTTTTTTTCACCTTTTTATTTTATGATTTAATTAATCTTCATTCGCATCAAATTGCAATCAGTCACTGTAATCAAATTCATAAGATCGATATTTTTGAAATATTACATATATCATGGATTTGAAAACAGTTTTTCTTATTTAAACCGTTAATAAAATTGTCCACCATTTTGAACAAGACAATAATATTGCGAATACGTAAATTTAAGTTACAAAACTTATGTGAAAACTACGATAACAGTTATTTTAATCTGGATAAAAGTAACATGAGTCACGTTGTATCAATGGATAATAAACGTGACAACAACCATGCCTTGGTAAAAATGGTTATTAATTAGTTAATAATGTGACTTCTCAGACGACAGGTGAAAATCTATAGTTCATGTTGGATATTCACTTGACCTTGGAGAAATATATTCAAGGCTAACCAGTTTATACGTACACCTGTACTTTTTACAATCATGTCAAGCTTGATTTGCAACTACCGCTGCCTTCCGGCTATATCACAAAACGGAAAAGGCCATGCAAGTAATTCCAGGCAGAATATGCGGAAACTGAAAAAACTCCCAGCAACTTCTGCAGCTAAGCCTACCCCAAATGAAATGCCCTCTAATCTTTTCGATCTGGTCGAGAGGAGAGAACATATTATCTGGACAGCACATGGCCTCTATATGCTACTGCCTAGGACTGTAGAAATCTCGACAGTCTTACCAAAGGTCTAAATGTTGACCAAGAAGAACGCTATCTTTATCTCTAATTTAATTAAACAAATATTTCTCATCTTAAAATCTCTGTGTCATGTCTCCGCAGAATTAACCAAATTTATTATTTACTCTATGAAAAGTGGTCGATATCACGTCTTCGTCGTTTTGGGGTTGGATAAATCAGGTGTATCTTAAAAGCAGGTTAAACTCTAAGAAGAGTATAAGATATTTCTAGAAGAAGTATCAATGTTTGACTTTTAAAAATCAGACCAGGGATGTGTGCACGTAATTTTGGACGGATTAAAAGAATCTATCTTATATATCTATAATTATACCATTCTCCAAGGCTTAGATTGAGCTACTTGAAAAAATCCAAAGAAGACTCAGCAATATTATTGAAACAGATATAAAGTCTCGGCTTCAGTCACTTTCCCATCGCAACCGTAATGTTGTCTCTCTATGTCTTTTTTATAAATAGTTTCATTGTTCGGATGAATTCTTCTCTATAGTACCTAGATTGTATGAATTTAAGCGCAGTACTGACATCGAGATCTTATCAAATTACAGCTGAGCTGGCTAGATGTAGCCGTAAATTCTAGGCCAACACTTTCTTTTCTTGTCCTCCCGCTTGTAGAACTCCCTTCCAACTCCATGCTTTGCAGCCATCCTTAATCTGCAAAAAATTAAATGCAATGTCAATCGCTATCTACTCTTCTGATTTCTCTTTCCTCTTCCCGTTCATTATTAATGTTTCTGCTTCTAATTCTTCCACACCCTGTAATCCCTTGTGTCTTAGTGGCTTTATTGGTATTCTTAGGGTGAAATCGATTTTGAAAAAAGTTAAAAAAAAAAAAAAACGGAATTTAGTTACCGAGAGCTTCTTCTTTGTTCCAATGGAGTTTCTTTCTTGAATCTGACGGGGCCCGGGCACTCGATGCGTATTGTATCAACGCACCATCTTGCGTACATCTGTGACACTCGGAATGTGACCCGTACACGTTATCACCGAGACCCGGGAGCCAAACAATCGTCACCGAATTTAATGTCGCCGCAACTATCTAGAATAAGAAAAACAAAATACGAATTTATTACTTCAAAAATAAAAGTATATCAGATGTTTAAAATTTTGTTTATGTCTTTAAAATTAACTGTTTACATTGGGTCTTTATTTCCTACGTTGGAGAATGCCTAACATTCTTTCAGTATATATATATATATATATATATATATATATGCATCACTTCATTCAAATTTGTTTCATTGAATAATATAGACATAGTATGTCTATTTTTATACTGATTCTTTCCGGTTCTCTAATCAGTTTCTTGATGTTAAGATGAAATACATAAAAGAAGGTGCCATAGATTTTCTAACCCAAATACTTTCGATCTTTTCCACGATCATCCTCAGGGGTCGATTACAAAGGCAAACCTATCGTAACTCCGATAAAATCAGTATTCTTTTGTTATGGTGATGGTTAATAAACATGCGCTAACACGCTCTGTAATTATTTTAAATTTTTAGATTTATCCGCTCTAGCCATAGTAGATTATGCAAAACAAGCGTCCCAAAATAAGGGAGCAGACCGGAAATTGGTAAAAATCTAAAATGACATTAAATGTTTGTCATAGGCACTTCAACACGTTGCTGCTACACATGTAATAAATTTTCTTGAGTGTTGGTTGATTTTGATATAGAGAGCCTCCAGAATTTGTAGTTTTTGTTTATTATTTTCGTATCATATTTGTGTTGTCAACAAGTATTTTTCTGTATTGTGGAGATGGAGAAGAATGTGTTTCTAGATATTGTGCAATAGAACTTGTATCCGACAAATGAAATGTAGGCAACTTGATAATGTTGTGGTCATCAGACCAACATATCTACTTACTTTTTTGTCAGAAATGCCATGTCTCAAAGGACATATGTAAAAAGCTACGCCTCCTTCCTTAATGAATTTCATCTTAACAAGAAGAAACTGATTAGAAAACCGGAAAGAGTCAGTATAAAAATAGACGCAATATGTCGCCATTATTCAACGATATATATATATATCTATATATATATATATATATATATATATATATAAACAATCCAATCTTTGACTATTTGATAATGTTGCTCTAATAATAATAATACAAACAACACCATTATTGGTTACACAACCATAGCATTATCGCGTCGATTAACATGAAATTTAGCTTATAGAACTCCAAAACGTTATCTTTACCAATGACACAAAATAAAATATCATATAAACTATGAAAACGAATACAGAATCATTAAGCATGAAAATCAAACAACCCAATACCAATGCTAGAATATTTAACAACAGCCATATTAAATAATAGCCATATTTTATAAATAGATATTAATTATACGACCAGATAAAATGAACGTCAACGTGAAACCGCTAAGGCGAAGTATCTGAAAATGATGAAACTGGCGTATCGCAAAGAAAGCAACTCCTTGATAATGGTGTATTAAAGCCAAAAGTGTTCAGACATCGAGGAATTTATATTTAAATATGTACCTGAAGCTAAAAAAAATGGTTAAAATACAGAAAACGTTATCAAAGAACTTTCTTTGGTCTTTAACCAAACATAAATAAAAAAACAAAACAATAAAATACATGATGAATTTTTTTTTTTTTTTTGCTTTTATAATCTTGTCTTAACGTTTATCAGAAGTTTTAGGTTGAATTAAAATCCGACAGACACCAACGGTTCTAACATATAGATATATATAAAATCAAACAAAAAAAAAGAAACACTTTCTTGTTTCTAGTCGTCGGATCTAATCAGGTAATTTAATTTATCCTCAAAAATCTCAAGGCATCCTAAAAGAAGCTGAGACTAACAGACGTCGGCGAAACGCGTCGTTCATAAATTTTTCCATGTCTCATCATGTTCACACGTACACACACACATACATACATATGTGTGTGTGTACGTTCGTGTGAGTATAAATGTATATAAATAGTTCAAATTTGCACACAAACACACGCACATATATATTTGTTCATCATCTTAAACGTGGATACTAGTATTTAAGTAAACACTGTTTTTTTTTATTAAAGAGTATATTTATTTACTTTCGTCTACCGGCCTGAATGTTCTAAAATTCTCTTTGTTTACGTTTGGATACGAATCAGTGCAAATGAAACATTTCGAGATGTCTATGACGAGAACAGTTTCACGTAAATGTACAAATTTGCACTTGCCTGACCGACTGTGATTCGTAGCTCCGTTGCTGAGAACGTGTCAGGTCTTATGGTAACTTTTCCTGCCCTGGGAGACGCAGGTTCGAATCTTGTCAGAGAGCACAAACTTTTCCTTTATAAGATTTCCCGAAAATTAAATTCGTTAGACGAACATAAATGAATACACTGTTTAATAATCAAGCGGAGAGTCTTCTCAAATACGAGCCTCCACTAAAAATAATGTTTACGTCAATAAAATATTGTTTAAAGTGATAAAATCTGTTAGATTAATAAACACTCCATTCTAATATATATATATTTATATATATATATATATATACACGGTGCGATGGATAAATTGTCGTCAAAATTACGCAAAACTTAAAATAATGCAATTCATTTTCGCAGATATATTTACCAAAATTTATTCACTGAAATCGCCATTGACTTCAACCTCGACCTTCAGACGACTTCGGAATCTCCTGCATCTTTTTTGGAAAGTCATATTGTTTAATTTGGTGAATGGTGCCATAATCCTTGACTTCAGTTCATCTTAGGTGTTACTAGGAGTTTTGTTGGTCTCTCGCTCAACTGCACCCCACACATAATAATCAAGGGGGTTGCAAGTCTGGAGAGTTAGGTGGCCAGATGTAAGGGGTGATGTGGACGCAGAAATTGTCTTACTCCCATGACTATGCTCTCCTACTTGTGTAGCATGGTGCAGAGTCTTGTTGCCAGACATAGGGTCTTCCAATATCCACCCTTTTGACCCAGGGCAGCACTACCCACTCAAAGTACACGATGTCGGCTTCCGTGTTTAGTCATCACTAGTGATCACTCCAAGCATATTCATAATCACTATTAGACTCATCCAACTCTTTCAGAATCCTCAGCACTGTCTTCAAGAATTACAGCATGCCGTTTCCAAATTTATGGCGGAGTGAATTTCGTCATGATGCTCATTTTCTCACAGACGGTGCCCAACTGACTTTATTATATTGTGCAATCGACAAAATCCAAAACAAACAATGCACATGTGCAAAAAAAAAAATGAAAAATATATAATGGCAACAATTTCCTTATTGCACCTTATATATATATATATATATATATATATATATATATATATATATATATATATATTACAAAGAGTTAATCATACCTTGAATCAATTAGCAATATTAATGCAATTACTGGCGATATCCTATCGCTAGTAGACATTATTATAAGCATTATACTACTAATAATCCACTGAATGATGAGATCCTTATGTATAAAATGGATATGGTGTATTTTTTAATGCAGCTAGTGCTTCACGCATTCATCATCGGGCTGTATATATATATATATATATGTGTGTGTGTGTGTGTGTGTGTGTGTGTGTGTGTGTGTGTGTGTGTGCAAAAAAATTATCAGAATTAATGTGTAGAAAATGACAACAAGCAGAAAGAATAAAAGACAATAGGAAAACTGTATGTAGTTTTAACCGACATGTTTTGTCCAATGCAGACTTTTCCAAGGTAGAAAAACCTTGAATAATCTGCAGTGGACGAAACGCGTTGGTTAAAACTACATACAGTTTTCCTATTGTCTTTTTTCCTTCATATATATATATATATGTGTAGAGAGAGAGAGAGGGGGAGAGGAAGAAACGTAGATATCCAGTGGGGATGTTGAAATGTTTTTCACTCAAACAAGAAGGGATTATAACTAAATTTTTATGCTTGGTTATTTTGTCAAATTTAGAGAAGTTGCTTCCATCGAAAAATTGTTATTTCCTTTCATTACTTTTCACTCCTTTCTTGTACATACAATATGGCAGATTTTCTTACGCATATTAATTAATATTTTTCGCAATAGAATTTGTATTAAACAAAATATATTGGGAAAATAAGTGCTTCGTTAACGCCTAGAATTCCAAATGCTGATTTTGAAAGCATTCGTATTAACGGTTCTCATTCCCTGTATAGTTGTTAATCTTTACGTAGAATTAGAATGATTTCATGTATATGTCTCCTTCATTTGAAAAGGTTTAGTCATGTTCATTGGGGTTTTGTTCTGCAACTTAAATGTAGACTCGAAACGAGACAAACAGACAAATATGGCGTCGTACTCAATATGAATCATGTAAATTTTAATTTGTCTCGGCATATTTACGATAAACAACGACGCCCGACTTTGCGCAGACCTAAAACCTTTCTTCTCGTCTGTGGCACTTAAACAGTCATTATTTTGTTCAAGTGATGTGTGGATACCGTTAAATAAGGTGAGCGAAATTGAAGAAGCTTGATAGGTTTCCACATTCCAACTGTCGTGTGTTTCATATTCGGTAAGTTAAAATATCATAAAATATGTATTAGAGTTTGAAAATATATAGTTAAAAATGTCATTTTTATCATATATGTTCTAGTATAGGGCGAGTGTTTTACACAAAAATTAGCGGGACGCATTATACACAGATAATTTGTTTGAAGAAGTTTAAAATCATGTATTTTCTGTTAACTGTTTCACTATACACAGGTAACCTGGAATGGTTAAAATTCAGGTACAAACATCAGAGGGCACAATACATTTATTCGAATTATATACGAGTAAATACGGTACTCCCGAACTGTGATTTAATTGCTAAGCAAGTTGTAATTTTCAGATCAAATAATAGCTTTATTTGAATAACTAATCAATTAGATAATATATAAAAAACATATACTGGTATGTATAAATACTAACAGCTCATTTACATGATGTCGCAGTTTAAAAAATAATGAACCACATTATACATAAAGTTGATTTATACACGAGTATATACCACATCCCGAAGCTGTGATTTAAGTGCTAAGATGGTTGCAATTTTCAAGTCAGAAAATAGCTTTATGAGAATAACTAACCAATTAGATAAGTTATATAGCACATGTGCTTGTACGTTTAAATACTAACACCTCATTTAACTTGATGTTGCGGTTCGAATTAAATCTCAAAGTTTCAATATGAATATATTAGACGATTTCTAAAGCGTCTTCTATCCAAAACGGCATCGAGTAACTTTTCTTGTTAATCAAATTGCAGGTGCGAAAAGGTAAGTAATAAAATTACTAGTCCAGAATGTAGGCGGACAGGTGACTGTATAGGATTTGTAGAGATTATAGGTTTTGCATTCGCCAGGAATTTGTGACGTCCTTTCACTTATCATTCTTATTTTTGGGTGGTCCGCCTCAGGTGTCACAAAGATGGCGTCACAGTGACGATGCCAAATAATATAGCGGTCAGTTTGTTTATTCCCTAACACTTCCCACATACACACCATTTCACACACGCAAATACATTTTTATTTAATAGACACAAAAAATGGCGTTTGTTCCTTCGAGTGCTTGCTTACAAAAAGAAAAACAAAACTAAATGTTTAATTATACTTCGAGTTTTAATGGGTACAAATAAAACTGAAGCATGCGCACTCATTATCATATACGTCACATCCTGTGTGTTCTCTGATTTCTTTGAAATGTACTCCCTTAGCCTATATGAAGACTATACAACTTTTCCGAAATAATATCCAGTGAATACAGATATCTTGAACCCACGCCCTATACAAGTTATTATTATTATTATTATTATTATTATTATTTTATTTTTTTTTGAGGCATGGGCGAACAGGAACCATTTCCAATCAATCCGAGTTCTCCAACTACAACTGGAATTATTGAGGTCTTCATGCGCCACAATTTTTAGATTTTCACTTCAAGATCCTTGTATTTTGATAGAATACAATATGCAGAGACTGCTATGTCAATAAAAAAGGAAATTCTGTCTTTGTGGTTTTCGATAACGATGTGTGGGTGATTTGCTTAGATGGTTCTGTCTCTGCGTGTTGTAAAGTTCCACTAAATTATTACAAAACCTGTCTCTGTAACCAGATATGAAAGATGTTCATACCAGTTTCTTAGTTTCCTTCTCCGTAAAAGTTGCATATTTTCTAGCGCAGATATTGACCCAATCTATCCTGCTGAGTTTTATATTCAGTGTCCATGTACACCATGTAACCTGATACAAGAACTGTTTCTGGATATTTATCACAGAATCTGCATTTTGGGTTAACACAATTTTTCAGTATCTGTGCTTTCTAGTTAGCAAGGATTTGTCCTGTACAGCAAAAATAAAAACTTTGATTTCAGATTTTAACCCTGCACTATGTAACCACTGATGGGCACGGGGTTTGTTTACATCAGCTTGATTGGTACGGGTAGATTACTGAGCATGAAGAGGCTTATGGTCAATACTCTGCACGTACCAAACAAGCTGATAAACCACTTACCCATCAGGGGTTATTATAATAATTATTATTGAATGAGTGAGCAGCACGCTAACAAAATGATGGCGGCGTACAAATATACAGAGTATGATGGGTAAATTGTCACCATATTATATTTTTAATTTCGCGCATGCGCGTTGTTTGTTTTGGATTTTGTCAACAGCACAGTGTTGTCGGGTTATTTGGGCACCGTATATAAAAAAAGAGCACCATGACGCTATTCACTACGCCAGATTTTTGAAAACACCTTTGTGTTCTGCTTGAAATTCGGATCGGAAGCTCCAATACGAACATTTCATAGTGCTTGGGTGTCAATCTGAGGAGAGTGTAGATGAGTCTAATGGTGATTACGAAGGTAAGGTAGCTAGGAAAACTCACTCTGGTCCGTTCTGATTAGAAAAGAACTCACGAATTTGTTGGTGAGGGCCGCAAACTCAACACGGAAGCCTACATCATGTGCTTTGAGGAGGTAGTGTTGCCTTGGATCAAGAGGGTGGCTGCTGGAAGACCATATATCTGGCAACGAGACTCTGCACCATGGCACACAAGTGGGAGAACCTAGTCATGGGTGTAAGACAATTTCTGCAACCACATCACCCCCCTTACATGTGGCCACCTAACTATCCAAACTACAACCCCCTTGATTATAATGTGTGGGACGCAGTTAAGCGAGAAACTAACAAAACTCAAAGATGAACTGTAGGAAAGGATTATGGCATCATTCACCTTGGTTGAAGCCAATGGCGATTTTATTAAATAAATTTACTCTTTAGTATCGTGGCATAAAACCATAATTAAAACAATCTAAGAAGAGATACATTTTACAAATCCCTTCGTAAGATGTGACCTCTGTGAGAATTTCTTTTTATTTCTTGGAGTTCCTGTGATCCATTCAAAGAGTCTAACAGAACCTTTCCCAATCAAACTTATTGCTCCAACCACAATAGGAAGTATTGACATCTTCATGAATCACATATGTTGAGATTTCCACTTCAAGATCCTTGTATTTTGATATTTTTGAAGGTCTTTAATGATATCTTATTGTCTGCAGGGATTGCCATGTTAATAAGAAAGCACATTCTTGTTTTCGGGTCTTTTTCTGACTGTGTCTATTGTAAATACCCATAAATCTTTTTACATGTCCTATGTCTCAAACCAGGCCTGGGTGGTGTTCATAATAATTTCTTGCAGTTTTCTTCCCATAACAGTTGCAGATTTTTCTGTGCAGATATTGGCTTATCATGCCGATTTTTATATTCAGTAGATGTTAATACCGTGCAAACTGATACAAGATAGTCAATTGTTTCTTAGCATTCATTACATTTGGAATCAACACACTTTATTGAATATATTTGCTTGGTAATTTCTTGTGAGCGAGCATTGTTCCTGCAGCAAGAATGAAAACCTTAAACTCAGCTTTTAATCCATGACTACGCAACCACTAATGCGTGTGAAGTATGCCTACATCAACTTGCTTGCCACGGGCGGAGTATTGACCATGAAGACGGCTATCGATTTTTTTTAATCATTTCACCCCAATCATGGAGATAATGCACCTAAGATGCAAGAGGCTACTGCGAGTGAATGAGAAGAATGAACCGGAAACCCAATCCTAAACAGAAAACAAGGGATAAGCCTCTATTCCTGTTCAAAAGATGAGAATGGGTTGTAAAACCGGACGATAGGCAAAATTAACTACAACTATTGCCATCTTTTCTGCATTTGACCAATTGTATTTACTTTATCATAATCATTTTCACGTTTCAAGAATATCTGCAAAAGTGAGATGAGAGCGATAGACATGGCCATCGAGATGTGAAAAGACGTCGCCAATGATCGCTCACGCTGAAGTCACGATTTACACCGAGGGCTGGAGATCGGAAAGGAGAAACGATGACATGTTGCCGGGGAAGCGTGATCAACCAAAAGAAAAAATTCGGTGACATCGGCGGAGGGTGTCTTCTAATGCATTCGTTGCAATCGAGACTGTCACATACAATCTTTTATCATCATCATCATTATTATTATTATTTCATACATCTGATGCCTGTTGATATTCAAGAGAGGCTGAATAAAAACACGTCTTCTCAAATACCCAGTATCTTTCTCCATATTATCACAGACCTGGGATTTCTGATTTATCTAGCGTTACTTCGAATGTTTTTGGCACAGTCCCAAGCACACCACTTATATGTACCAGATGATTTTTTTTCTCTTTTTTTCCTTTATTTTTCATCTTTCTTTTAATTATATTCTATGGCCCGCTGCTAAAGTAAAAACTGGCAGGCTTTTGCTAATGACTCTCAAATCCAATCTTCAGGCTTTGTGAAAATATAAAAATTATATATATATATAATCGAGATTGTGCTTGCCCCACTGTGAAATTTGCCTTTAGTCCATGGTATAACTCATTTTATATTCATTTTCTATCTGCCTCCTTCACTTACAATGTAATTTACTTCTCGACATTATTATTTTTTAAACACAAAAGATGGATCTGAGGTTTCCAAGATATAAACACAAAACAGGAACACTGACAAAATTATCTTGATGATAACATTAGCCTCGTATGGAAACTAAAATGCTAGCGGGGGCATTGGTTGTGACATATGTGGAAAGGAAAGAAGGAAGGAACAGGTAGATCTGAACAAGGTTGAACAATTTGAAAATGAAAACAGCCATCCGAGGAAGGCCGGAAACATTTAATAAAGAATTCATCAAATAGCAAACAAAATAAAACCAATAAATCAGTAAAAGATGAAAAAACATTTTTTTTTAGATTATCTGCTGCTGCCACTCTTTACTAGGGATGAATGCAAAACATTTTCCCGTTTCTCAATTTGAGAATAATTTATAGGCAGAAGTACCAAATACATGCTGGGATTTCTTCCTAGACAATAAAATATGCCAGTTCTTGTTTTCATCTGATTCAGTCCCGGTCTGTCTTGTCTTGAAACCAGAACGCTATCTTCGCCTGTCCGAACTTGCTTTTGTGTATCAATTCCAATTCTTAGTTTGTGATTTTTTTTACCTATATTACTTTGCCTTCATACTGTTAATTTACCTTGTATATATTGTTTGTTTGCTTTATATTATTTCTTTTTGCCTATTCTTTTCTTTTTCTTCTTATTGCAAACTTTGTCGATTCTATTTCTTGAATAGTTCTGTCTATATTTCTGAGATGAAGTATTATGTACATTATTTAAATTATTCGGACTATTGTATTCATCTTTGTCGCCATATTTATTACAACGTTTCGGCTGTTGTACGCTCCGGCCTTCTTCAGGTCATTGGAATGTCGAACTTAACCCTTCATTTCGCTCTCGGGGTTAGACTGTTCTAGTTCCACGTGCCATGTTTAATGGATGTCAGTTACCAGCTATCTCCTGTTAATTTCCCTCTGAAAGTTCTCCACTGTCCTTTATCCACTGTGCCATGTGTCCTCAAGGACACATAGCACAGTGGATAAAGGCGTTGGTTAGATCCAGTGACAGGACCCAACGAGTGTGAGTTCAATACCCGGTTAAGGCAGTGGATAACTTTTAGAGGGAAATTAACAGGAGATAACTGATAACTGACATCGATTAAACATGGCACGTGGAACTAGAACAGTCTACCCCAGTAAGCGAAATAAAGGGTTAAGTTCGACATTCCAACCACCTGAAGAAGGCCGGAGCATAAAACGGCCGAAACGTTGCAATAAATATGGCGACAAAGATGAGGACAATAGTCCGAATAGTGTAAATAATTGAACAGTTCTGTTACTTAATTTGTCTTTGACTATGCCCACTCGCTCTATATTATCCAACCTCTAAAAATAATCAGAAAGTTGAAATAATCCGACTCTTTTTACATCAGTATTCTTATCTTATGAGTTTGGTCCTCTCAAAACGTGGGTGGTATGGCTCTCCCCGAAACCCTGTCCCTTGTAGTACTAAGTAATGACCGACCAATTATTATGCTTATCTGTTCATGTTCTGCCATTAATTTATACAAGCACATCAGGGTTAGGGTCACTGGCTGTTTCGCCCTCAGTCATTCTTTCTTTCAGTATGTCCTAAGAGTGTCAGATTCTCCAAGCCCACTTTCTAAAGTTCATGTTTAATCCTAATTCGTTTCAAATATTAACGACTGCTTAAAAATAATGCCTCCATGTAGCCCCCAAAATCTTCTCTGCGACATTGACAACAAACAAACGGCTATAGGCAACATACTGAACAACACCAAGTTCTTGATAATAACAGATACAGTCGAATGTACTTAAACACAATAGAATACAAGTTTGTCGTAAATTTTAAACCCGATGTACAACATCTTATTCGGAAATTAGAAAAATATAAGAAAATATTTACAGACAGACCTTGTCGGCTAAATTTAACAAAATTTGTATGAATTAATTGTTGCTGCACGAATAGAGCCTAACGAGTCTGGGAAGGAGAATTTATCCAATTTTCGAATTAATTTTTATTTTTCTTGTTTCCTTGATTCCCTTATAGGCTTTATTTAATACATGCTGAAGCGAAAATCTTATACATATATGTATGTGTGTCTGTACGTAGGTACGTGCATTTCGACTGTAAAATTAACACGGCAACACATACAATGAGAAGAAGATCAACTACTAAACAATTTTACGTGCATTTGGAGTGAAGTTCAAATGATTCAGAAGCATTGATCTCAAGATTCGTTAACATCATTTTTTTTTCGGTCTCATATTACGAGAGCCGGGCGTGTAAAAATGACTGTTTGAATTTCTGATAAACAACTCTCAGAAGACGAAACATTTTTTTATTGCTATGAATGTAGATTAGCTTCAGTAATAATTCAAAATATATATTGGTTAGTTGGTCTACTCCGTACCACCAGTTCGACGATCAAGAATTATTGGCAACATATACGTATATATATATATATATATATATATATATATATATATATATATGTGTGTGTGTGTGTGTGTGTATGCGTGCGTGCTCGTGTCTATGCTTTTATTCGCAGAGAACACATACGGATGTATATAAATATATATGTATATCTGTTGATTCCTTTCTGTCTATCAATATATGTTCGCGCACATGTTCCCGCACCCACACTCATATTTATCAGTCTATTCAGATCGATCAGTGAATGGTCAGAAACGCACACACATATTTTATATATATTAGTCCACTGATATATATCAGTGAATGATAAAACTCATACGAATATATAATACATATGCCTAGTACGCACAAATCTGTATAAACGCATACATGCATACATATGTACATTTATATATATATATGTATATATATATAAATATATATATATAGGTATGCATGCCTGTATATATTCCACTATGTAGTCTATTCATATCTATCAGTGAATGTTCACACACAAATGCGCACCGACTTACACAGGCACATACATCAGTTTATTGACATATGTCAACGAATGAACGCACGCACACAATCAACACGCACACACACATACATATACTCACATCTATACATGCTTTTGTAGAATGATATCCATTCAAGCTTAAACATATGTATGTATATGTGTGTGTGAGAGAGAGCGTACGTGTTTGTGTATATCTATCTATTTATATATAAATATATGAATACAGAAATACACTAAATACAATATACCATACAAAACTATACACACACACAAACACACACACACATACACACACACACATATATATATCTTTATCTGTGTGTATACAATATAACATATGTGTCTGTGTGCGCGCGCGTGCGTGTGTGTCTAAAACCAAATTATTCTATGTCTAAATCAATGGTCGAGATACCGTACTAGGTTTTTCGTGGCATTTCTCGGCCCATGGGAATTACTTGACAGATTCGATGTTCTCTATAAATAACGTGTGTGACTGGTTGTACTGGATTACCTGCCCTTGATCTAATCCCCGACATGAGTTCTTACGAATGTTGCTTTCAGGTCTTTTCCACTGGATAGAAATGTGAAAAGAACAAACATGATGTCAACCAGAAGTAGTGATTTTCAAGTTTACAGACGTTTATTACTATACTTGGCACAATTTAGTATTTGAAACAAAGTGCGTAGGAAGCATTATGTTGCACTAACCTCCCAGTAAGAAATATGGCTGCCACCTTGTTGTCGCAAGATATCATGACACGAATAACTTACTCATGAATTACTAGGATATCAAGCAATGGCTGTGCCTGAAATTCTTCATATAGTGAAAGACGTTGCAATACGTAGGATTTATATCTCCTTTTTCTTTATGTAATCAGTAACATTAATTAAAGATAAGGGACCCAAGACTCCCAGTGGACTTTCCACATGACTGGACACCAGGCAGATATTTTGACATCCCTACACCTGTGCTAGATTTTATCAGAGTTTTGATAGATTTTGTTTTCATCTTGTGTTTCTAGCAACTGTCATCATCAAAAAAGCCGATGACGTAAACATGCGGCAGTTAGTATTGGGTTACATTGTACCAGTAGCACTCATAGAGTGACTCAACTCAACTCATCCATCCATCTCTCTCTCTCTCTCTCTCTCTCTCACACACACACACACACACTACCTATATCTCTCTCTTTCTACATGCATACATACAGGGTGCGATGGGTAAATTTTCGCGATTATATAATTTTAATTTTGCGCGTGCGTGTTTTTTGTTATTTATTTCGTTGACTGCACAGTATAGTAGGGTCAGTTGGGCACCGTCTGTGAGAAAAAGAGCACCAGGATGAAATTCAATCCGCCAGGAATTTGGAAACGGAATGCTATACTGAGTGTTTGAATTCGGAAAGTCTTGGATAAGTCTAATGGTGATTGAAGTGATCACTATAGATGGCGACCTTTTGCCTCCATTCAACTTACCATAGGGCCCTAGGTTCAACACGGAGTACCTTGAGGAGGTAGTGCTGCACTACGTAAATTGGGTGGCTACTGGAAGATGCTATATCTGGCAACAGGAACCTGTACCTTACCACACAAGCCGGAAAACCCAGTCATGCTTGTCAGGCAATTTCTGTGACCCCATTACGCCTTACATCTGGCCACCTAAATCCAAGCCGTTGACTATTATGTGTGAGGAGCATTTGACGAACAAATCTCCTTGTAACACCAAAAATGAACTGAAGGCAAAGATTCTGTCAGCATTCACCCACTTAAATAAGGAGTCCGTCCAGAAAGTTGCAAGAGATTTCGAAGTCGTCTGGAGGCCGTAGTTGCGGGCAATGGTGATTTTATTGAATAAATTTATTCTTTAGTATTTCGAGATACATTTTTGTAATTTTGGTAAATATATTTGTTAAAATGATATATCAGTGTTATTTTCATTTTTGCGTCATTTATAGAACAATTTTTCCATCGCACTCTAAATACAGTGCAGTGCAAAAGTAAGTGAACCCCTAAGATAATATTTAAGATAATTATCTCTTTTATCCAGATAACCAACAAATCTTAATTAAACTATATATTCATTATTATATAAATTACAACAACTTTCGAAGATTTTTATCAAGCTGGAATAAAAATATTAAAATTAAGATGTGCAAAAGTAAGTTACCCCAGATATTTACACTCTGTATTTTTGATTTACATGGCTGCCATTGCAAATATTTTTTTATGAACGTGTAAAAATCAAAATGATATGTGTTCAGTTTTTTGGGTGAGCTGTAAATACAACAGTCAAATAGTAT